ATAAGCAATTAATGCACAGTTCATGACCTCATCTCACTGGTCGCTGGTATTAATACTGCAGGATGGGAACATCATTCCAAGGGATTCAAAACTTAATCGAGGGACCCAGCATCGGAAAGTATAGGCCTGCTAGGAGCCACCCTGCTGGTAAACCCTTCACTGCTCCCACTCCCCATCCTGGCATCACTCACCCAAGCCTGGGTCTCTCCTTGGCTCATGCTTTCAGTGCATGCCATTCCAGCCACAGCCTCCTTGCTATTCTGCCATTCGGTGGAGTTGCTGGTCACTGATGGGCTGACAGTTCTTCGAATGCAGGACTTTCATGCACCCGGCAACTCTGGCCTTGTGGAAATCTGTTTGGCTAATTGCCTGCCTGGTACTTAATTTGGCAGGAAAGAGGACCTTGGCTGGCTTTTCAGCAGACAAGCTAGATTCCCAAGCTCCAATAAATACCTCCATTTTCCACATCTATTGTGTGACTTGAGTGATTTTCTTGCTTCAAGTGTGGTTGTTGTCTCAATGCCTTAGTGCTCATCAATTGAAAACCTGCAAACCCAAAGACTTAGGAACCCGGTGTCTAAAATTGTTTTAATTCTTACAATGAATGTGGGGATCGTTGGCAAGGTCAACATTTGTTGCCCACTCCCTTGAGCTGGTTGGGCCATTTCAGAGGGCTGTCAAAAGACAAACAATTTCTATGTGTTTGGAGTCACGTGTAATCTAGACCAGTTGGATGGCAGATTTCCTTCCCTAATGTATCTTAGAGAACCAGATGGATTTTTATGGCACTAGTTACATGCTCACCATTAAACTGGCTAATTTAAATTAATAGGAATTAATTTTCTTTGTATTTAGTCATGCTTTAATGGGGGACATTATATTGCTGTTCTTAAAACATTAGTTATGTCCCTTTACATTAGCTATTAGTTATGACAATTCCTGTTGGTGCAACAGTATTTTAATTCAGTGTTAACTGAAACAAACAGAGGCAAAGAAAGATGAGGTCCATTGAGCATTATAATTCAGCTTCATATTAAGTCACTTGTCTGTGCAAATGTAAGAGACAGTTATCCCTGCCCTTTCCTTTGTTTGTCCAAGTACTTAATCTGCAAATTTCTCTTACAGATGCTCAAGCATCCCTGTACAAGGGAAGGGTAATTATATATGAATGGATAAATTAGGAGCAAACGTAGGCCATTCAGCCCTTCAAATTTACTCTGCCATTTTATTAGGTTATGACTGAACCAATTATGGCCTATGTTTTTTTCTGCCCGGCCCTATATCCTTTGACTCCCTTGTCAGTCAAGAATCTATTGATCTCAGCCATAAAAATATATTTAGCCTCCCTTCGCCCCCACACCGCCACCTCCAGTATGTCATGGTTTCTGCCCCGAGTGCACAAGACTAATTCTATGTAGCTGCCATATATTGACAGAGCTCATCTTGAATATGAAGGCCCTCACCTCTTGAATAACCTTCCAATTCCCCTTATTCAGCCTCACAGATTATTACCTAGGCAAGATGCCAAAAGGCCACTGTTGTTCCCAGACCATATCTGAGGATAGGCCTCCTTAGTTCGAATTCATGCTTAACAGTTAGGAGCATAAAATCTCATCAGTTGATATATTCACTTCATAATTTATTAAGGTGTGAAACAAATGTTTCCCCTGGAGAAAGTCACTTTTGTTTAAATTTCACGCTGCAATCACTGGCAGTATTGAAAAAGAGAAACGAGAAAAAAAAATGAAACAGTAACTTTAGCAATTTGTCAAACTACCTCTCTTTTCTTTAGCAGTTTTGCACCATTTTCAAAGACTGAGCCACATGACATGCATTTCACACTGGGCTGCCCCATCGATCAAAGTAAAGCTAATTTTGTGACAGTGCCATTGCACACCATAACCATTCTTTCAGGTGCTTAGCAAACAAAGCTATCTGGAATCAATGAAAATGCAACTCTCTGCTTCTATTCAGTGCTGACTTGCCAATCCCACTGTGTCTAAGCATCCAGCATGAGTGAGAACATGCTCAGGCTTTGATTAGAATTGGAACTGTGCTCCATACTGCTGAGATTCTTAGAGAGCTAACTAGCCTGTTGCTGAGCAGGCAGGACACTGTGAAAATGCCATGATGAATTTAAACAAACTCTAATGAATTCCAGAAAGTTTTTTTTAAGAAAGACGATTGTAATGGTTCTGGGATCTTGTGCATTTCTAGGACCCATGAAAATGTTTGTCATCTGACAGGTGATCAGTTGCTCACTTCTAGCTGCTCTCCCTTTTGTTTGTTCTCTCTCTCAGTCTAAGTTCCACTGGCTCCTCTTCCTCCTTTGCTGGACACTCACTAAGGCCTTGATTTCGTTTCCTGGGTCACATGTGCAGACTGACAGAAAACCCATTTCCATGAAGCTGACTTCTAGAAATGGTCACCCACACTCAGCATTTTCAGTCCAGGTTGAGTGGGGGGGCGGGGTGGGGGGGGAGGTGGTGGTGCCAGTGCGGGGATGTGGCGGGGGGAGATGAGGACAGGGTGGCTGCATAAGAAGGTAGTTCAAATGGCCAGGAAGACCTAAGGAGGCTGCTAATTCCTCAGGTGGGCTAGGGGTGGGGGTGGGGATGCTTGCCAGGGGAACTAGCACTGTGGTCAAAATTACAATAAAGGAATGGTGTAGTCAAAATCCCTCCAACCATCACACCTCAAACCACAAGCACCCATGCACACAGGAGAAAAAAAAAGTTCTTTGACTTAAAGTTCCAAATCACAGACTATATTCCGTAAAACGCTCTCATTCACAAAACAAAGCCCATTTTAACAGGTATTTACACTTCTTGACATTTCTTGACAGGTTGACATTTCTTAACAGCCCTTGAAACTTCTTGATAATTCTTGAGAAGTGGTCATTACTTGACACTTATTGGCAAGCTCCAATCCCAAAAGTACAACACCCTCACTCCCACCTCAGTGATGCCTTGGAATTATATCCACACGGGCTCTCAAATTTTCTACATTGTCTGCACAAAACAAATACATGAAGGACAGACCTGCTTTAATCTCACACTCTGTGTTTCCCAGTCCCATTTCAATGAAGTTGAGATATGCTGGGTTTGGGCATTGGACTTAGGATTCATGATATCTACTCGTATCATCGCCGCAACAGAAAGGCCCAAGTCTCAGCCTGAATCTTGCTATTGTGGAAGTAGGCCGTGAATTTAAACTCCTCTGTAAAATCTGACCTCCTAGATGTAGACTTGAATGCAGCTCTAAGCCTGAATTGTTTTTGAAGCTGCTTTTTGGATGACTCATTTCTATCAGTGTATTCAGTTGTTCAGGGAAGTGTGAAAATTTACTGCACAGTGATTGACCCTGTCGATCCATCAGGTGGAATGTACTGAAGGTGACAGGGTCGTGGCTGAGGTCTGAAGATCGGGGGAGAATGCCACATTACCTCTTTTTGGAAAGAGCTGCCTCATCCTGCATCTCTCAGGCACTTAATAGACAGCGATGGGCCTTTCCCCAGGATCAAGGGCACCAGGGGCTGAAGTCCCACCTGCCCAGAACTGTCAGTGAATCAGCAGTGGCCATGACCAGTGTGACCAACCCCACCACCCCCATAGTCTGTAATTAGGGAGGAACACAGGCGAGTGACAGTGGAAAGGCTGTCACAAGCGAGATGAAAAGAGAGGATCAACAACAAGGGTGAGTGTTGGCTCTCAAACCACTCCCACTCCCTGAACTAAGGGTCCTCTCATCCCCTTCATTGGGGCGTCACAAATAAAAAAGATACCATGGCTTGCTTGTTATGCTCCTGGCAGGATGAGCTGGGTTAACACCAGTGGTGGAGAGAAAAGGGCTAAATAAACATTGTTGGCCACTTGAGGGTCCTAATCTGAGCTCGCCTGAGAAGATTTTCAATCTTTTAATTTTAGGTGCTTTCATGCACCTCATGTTTTTATTGACTAGCATGTATAGTTGATTTATACTCTATTGAGTCAGATACAACTGCACATACATGTCCAGAAGCGTTAATTAAATTTTATTTTTGACAAATCTCATATATTCCAGCCAAACAGCAACATTGAACATTTCAGTCTGGGAGAATGTAACATTAGAGAAAACATGTCAATAAAAACACATCAGTTGGCATGGCTCACGTAACAGAGAAAATTCGAAGTCTTGTTTTCCAAGGATGTTTCTTTCTCTGTGAATGCAGATCCTCTTTTATATCCTTTCTTATCGTTGCTGGGTTGAAGTCAGCACCCTGCCTGAGCTGGATCTTCTCCTTGTCTCCCAGGCTTGACATAAACTTTATTACTGGAAGAAATGTATGACCAAACAGATCCTGCCTGCTGAGTTGACAATCTGGTATCCTTGCAGTTTGTATTAGAAAGAAGCAGTTCTGCATTCATTCTGCAGTCAATTGTTCAGTCAAGTGGATCAGCTAACCACAAGTTTGAATGCTACTTATTCTTAAAATCCTGTCAGATTCCAAATTTGCTCAACTCATCCTGCCATGTAAGGTTTCATGAAAGAGAAATAACCTCAGCACTCTCACCATCCTCAAACCATAGATTTCACTTCCTTATCCATTTACTTCTTCAAAGATCTTATGTTTGAACAGTTCCTTGCAGATATGTAAATCACTGATTAAAGCCATTTCTGAAGAAGGGTCTAGGCCCGAAACGTCAACCTTCCTGCTCCTCTGATGCTGCTTGGCCTGCTGTGTTCATCCAGCTCTACATCTTGTTATCACTGATTAAAGTTGATTGTGTTAAGAGAGTGTTGTATCAGGATCAGATTATCCTGTTTGCCAAATAAAAGTTAAAATTAACAGTTATATCAAACAAAACATTGCAATGTTAAACCAACAGGTGCCCTCTTCAGTCAAGTCACTGGAGAATTTTGGTGCTACCCTATTTAACCCTTTCATTCTGATCCATTACATTCACCTAAACTATTGTCCAGACCTTAGCTTTCTCATTAAAAATTTATTCAATTAACAGCATCCTATCTTCTTCATGCTTTGCTGTAAAGACAATCAGCAGAATCATTTCAACAGGGTAGGTTATGGCGAGATTGTGGCAGAAGCATGCAAGAAGTCCAGTGTGGCTCACCTTGACCTCAACAGCAACTCATTGCATTTTCTGTGCTTTTGCCAAGTAGCAAGGTTAGTTTCTCACCAGGCATTTGTGAGTTGCTAATTAGGGGTGGTTTTGTTAAATACCACACTAATGCCACAACTCGCTTCCTTAATATTGAGATTCCTATCTTTCCAATTGTGCTGAACGTGCTCGAGATCAAGAATTCAGGACATCAAACTTAGAGCCGATATCTCGTGTCTTCTGCTTACTGCTCTCTCCAAAGGACTTCTGTGTTGGACATTGGGCACCGACATCTCACGGCAGGCTCCATAGGCCCAGGCCACAGGCACTCCATATCCACAGATACTGTCATCCAACTTATACCAACCTCTAAGAATGTGCATCATGGCACATCTCTGATCCAGTTCCAGAACACTTTTGCACTTCAATGCTGCACCTTAGGCTGGACAAGCACTATCATGTAATGATGTTGCAAGGACACTGTGTGCTCACTGGCCAACACCCAGCTCATGGACTGGACCAAGCTGTATCTCCAGCCTGTTCAGTTGTTGTCATAGTGCTCACTCACTCTGGCCCTACCTGGATCTTCACAACATACTTGCCTTGCATTGCCTTGCTTTGCTTTGCTTTTTCGCACTTTGCTGCCTAAGCCAGAGATACCAGGCTCATAGTACTGTGGTTTTGCCTTGTCATTTAGTACAGATACAAAACCAGGAACTTAGTCTTGGTTATCAGAAAGCCTCACTCAAGTCAAGGGAGATTGCCTTCAGTCAATGGCTCCAGCACAGTAAGTCAAGAGCATCCTTTAGTCTAGGGTTTGGATACAATCAATCAGCCACTCAATGCAGGATTGTCTCCACATAAGGGGTGAAGACCTGAAGGTCAGGCAGCCCACTACCAGTCTTTAATCTTCCTGCCCTGCTGTAAGCTATTTACTTCCTGGAATGAGAGAAAGAAAGATAAAATGAGAGATGAAAGTGGATGGCACAGCTGTTACTTTTGAGGCAGGTGGGGAGGTGTCCCAAGCGAGTGAGTAGGTATGAGAGAGCATGAAGAGTTGGTGTTGTGGGGAATTGGTGTTGGTGAGAGTGAGGGAGGGTAGATGTTGCAATGAATAGTCAGCGCAGTAGAACATGAGCCTTGCTGGGAGGTGGGCCCGGTAGAGAGATGGAGTGAATGTGAAGTACTGGGGAGAAAAAGTTGACACTTATGCTGGTGAATGAGGCAATATTATTGGTCTTCTTCCTACGTTGCTGTGCATTCCTCTAAACAGCTGAGATTGCACTGACTCAAACAATCTTGGACTAGGCTACTATAGTATGGTTTGGTGGCTTCCTCTGCTGGTTCTGACGAGAGAGATGTCCAGCCTTTGCACCACCCCATTTAGCAGGACCTCCAGGTCCTTGTCCACAATGTGGGTCCAAAATTTCCCTTTTCTACCATGTTCAGGCACATTTCAGGAACTGTGCAATGCAGCTCTGGACCAACTGTAGTTTTCCAGTTGCACAATAGCTTTTGAAGATGGCACTAGTGAAGTGATTGTAACAAGGTTGTAGAATATGATTTCCCTGATTGGGGCTGTTAATCTAGTTCATTCAGGGAGCCCTGGCTGATGTAAAAGGGTGAATGTCAGGGATATTGGGCCCTGAATGGCTGACTCAGTGAGAGGCAGTGCTATTGTCAAAGGCAACACATTTGCAAATAAAGCATGATTGGTGATCGGATGCTGACCTCTGAAGAGTTATTTAAGCCAAAACCAAGAATGCCAGTCAATTCTGAGTTGTCTGGCAACAGCATATAGTAAGATATGGTTGGAATCAGAAAAGTGGGATACCGTGCAGGCATGGTGGTTGGTTTATGAGGTAAGTTTGATGAGATACACAGGGAATGCTTGCTCAGCCTCATGGCAAAAAACAAAACTCTGAAAAACCTAACACATCTTGTACTTAGCCAAAAAAGCATTAGATTCAGCCTTATGTATTGGTAGGTTACTTAGTTATGAAGTAGGGATTGGATTTGAACCAAGTGCATTCCATCCTATATATTAATATGGATTAGAAGACCTACCAGATTTTCGCTCCGTTTCTAACACAGAGAGAAAAAATATCATTGTCAGTTGCAGTGTCATTGCTGCCTCTGGTTGCACTCAGCTGCCTTACAGAGACATAAGAGAAAACCTGGGAGCCTACTGCTTCATATCGATAGGTAGGATGGAATAAAATGGAAAAGGAACAGGCACATAATATAATTAGTTACAAAGCTGTAATTTCCTTAAGTTAAGATACATTTTTTTTGTTGAAAAAATATATATTCCATGCCTTCAAAGCCAGAGATAGTTTCGGGATACCTTCTTCATATTAAGACAGTTCCTATTTCGTAGTAACACCAAGAAGACCTATCAAATTAATTGATGGAGATGTAGGAGGCATAATTCCACACGTGGAGCCCTAGATGTCACTTAATAGAGGGAAATGGAAGTTGGAAGCTAATCATTACAACCAAAGAAGCTGTCCAAGAGTTCTTCAGGGAAGGATCCTCAGCCATTAATTTTCACCAGCTTCACCAAAGATTTTTGCATCTTAATGAGGAGGCTGTTTGATGATTATTCTACAATGTTCATGCCTGTTCTCAACTCCTGCAGTAACTGAACAATGCAGATCTTGCTCTACATTGAACTGGATAATATTCAGGCTTTAGTTGACAAATGGTAGGTACAATCATGTCAAGTGTGGACCAGCTTAAACAAAAGAAAACTATCCAACCACCTGCTGAGCATTAAGAGCAGTACCATTACCTGGTTCAGCCCCATCTTGGTGGACACCACTTACCAGAAGAAAAAGTGAATGAATCACATTGCGTTAAGTGAATGAATCACCCGAACACCGTGGTTATAAAAGCTGGGCAAAGAGGTCAGACAGTGGGTACTCAACAACAGATGACACAGCTCCTTACTCTTAAAAGCATTTTCATTAGCTGCAAACCTCTCCACTATCGAGAAGGCTTCAGTAAAGAAATGCAGAACACTTATCAGTTTGGGTACCGAAATAGGAAAATCCAAGAAGCTCGACACCATCCAAACAATACAGACCACTTGATTGCTGCCACTGATATTTCCCTTCTTCGCTACAAGTGCACTTGTCTCCATTATTTTTGATCTGTACAGGTGCTGTGCAGCATCCTAACAATCCATCACCTTCCTATTACTAAGCAAGATGAGGGTAGCACTTTCAATTACACACCATCACCTCTGATGCCCCCATTTGCATGAAGCATATAGAACTGATCCTTTCAATACCTAAATGATGCTGGTAAAATTGCATACTGTCAATCCTACCAATTGCCAATAATCTGACTTTGACCCTTCATTTTGAACACTGTTAAGGAATTCCAGAATATTGACCCAGAGATTATAAAAGTTTAAGGCAGATATTTTGACTTATTTTCGGAATGATCTCATTGTGCATCGCCTTCAAAATCATTGATGATGGAACATTGACATATGTTGAAAATAACACGTAAGATTTGAAGAGAACTTGCACTCTTGGTATTACTGCTCTATTCTCTTGATATTGATGCCTGTTCTCCTCAGTGGTGGGAGTGCAGATGAGGGTGGAGTTGTTGAAATCATTTTGTTGACTGCACTCACAATACAGGAACGAGTGCATATTGGCAAGTGACCTGCGCTGTTGGAAATGGTGTTGAACTTCTCGAGTGTTGTTGCAGGTGACTGGGGACAGTTTGAGGGGACAGGAGGTGAGCCTTTTGTTGCAGATTAAGCATTCTTTGTTTTGATTTTGTTGCCATTACACTGATATCTCTGTTTATTTCAGCTTCCGCTCTGCAAAGATTCCCAAAAATGTTGTTGGGGAAATCTCATGATGTAGCCAGGCAAAGTCGAGAGATGTTGGCTGAGCCTTTTCTTGTTGGAACTATCAATACCAAACACTTATGTGGCACAAATCTTAGGTGCCAGTTGGCAACCAAAGCCTGGATGTTTTCCAGATCTTACAGCTGTCTTTGCACTGATGGCAAAAGCCACATATACTGGTCTATAATTGGAGAAGCGGGAAATGAAGCTGAACACTGTAGCAGCACCATTAGCTCCACTCCTAACCTTTTTAATGGAATGAAGGTCACTGATAAAGCAGTGAAAAATGGTTGGAGTTGTGATTCTTCCCTGAGAAACTTCAGGAAACATACTCCTTGTGCTGGCTAATTTAGAAAGAACAATGGAGGCTGAGTTTCCATGTCTGTAAGGGGCAATCTTATGGTGCTGAAAGACAGAGAGATGTTGGGGACACAAGTTGAAAAAAAAAAGTACAGATGATGATATTTAAAAGTTTGCATCTACAACATTTTTGAAATGGCTGTGGCCACATGCATTGCAGGATAATTGGCAATATTGTTCACTTATGTTTAATGTTCAGACTATCATCCGGTAGCCTTGTACAATTAATACAGATTTATAATAATTTCGGAACTAGTTAGCTAACTTGAAACCCTTTTCCACTCAGGTGGTTCAGAAAACTCAACTTTCTTTAGAAATTCAGCTTTGCATAAATGTAATTATTTCCTTCAATGTAAGTTATGTAATTTTATTAAGGGTAAGAAAGCTTAATAAAAATTATTGTTAAAGTAAAGCAGACTTTTTAAAGATGAAAGACTGGTTCACGAAGGAACCTTAATGAAAATGCTTCCTCCAATTGGCCTCTGAGTCAGAAATTGGTGAACATGAGAATAAAATGGAGGCTATGTCTCTAAATGCAATAACTGTTTTAAGTGTTATGCAGGGAATGACATTTTTAATTTTGACAGTAATAGGGATACTGTAGTCATAGAGATGTATACCCACAAAAAGGGGGCAGATCTGCATGATGAGGATGTTTCAAAAATGTATCCCTTTGTGTTAGGTATTGGAAATTGATTCCACAATGAATTAAGTCAGTAAGTGTTTTGCCAGAAGATACAATGATTGCCTTCCTTCACCTGTCTTGATATCAATTCAAAGCATTTACATTTGTTTGATCATGTTTGTGGTCTATTGTTCTATTGTAGTTTCAAGGCG